GTTGCTTAAATTGGAAAATTTACTGCGATGATCATACTTCACTTTCATCTACTACCGCAGTTCAAATATGAATTATTTCATATATACTTCACAAAATACCTTTGTGCTCTACACATCCCCCAAAATGGTCAACATAAAGAAGATATTACATGGCAGTGTGAAGATCTTGATTTTAGCAGGAGAAAATAAAATTTGTCTTCTGGCCACAGATGGAGTGTAATTTCCTTTTTATTGTATATAGACAAACTGACTGTTTGCACAAACAACCGTGAAAAAATGGGAAAAGATGTCGTCAATATCCTCACTGGTAAGGATGTGGAAAATATGCCACTCCGGACCTGGATGTAGTTTCACGTGAGTGGTATTATTTCCAGTAAAACACTTCTGTTTACATAATAAAGAGGCAATGTTACATTTCATATTTTATTAACAGCTGGTACCTGGACAGTTCTGCATTCTCACACAGAATTTCTGGTCCAACAGTGTGTATACAGGTGTACATCGAGATGGGACCCAACACGTTTCTAGTTTCACCTGTTGAAAATACAATCACGCAGTTCACAAAACAAAATCATTTAATATTAAATAAATAGCAATCAGTCAAGGGTAATTGTGAAGAATGGCTCCCATTTTAAGCTATGCATAATTTGTTGTCCAATTGTCTGCCGACAATGGTCATAGTAACTGTTGAGAGTGCAGTGTATGTAGTTTCCCTTCCAAATGGGTTCTTCCTTGCAATGAAGTTCTCGAAGCAATAAATAAGAAAATGTCAATTGCTTTAATTGACAACTTTTTGACTGATTGCTAACAATTTGCTGACTGTTAGCTGACACTTAAGTCTGAAAAAATCAAGAAAACTGTTGGCTTACTGTCAAGCATCTGGTAACTGCCTGCTGGCCAAAAAACAGCCAAAAAAAGGCCAAAAAAGGACAACAGTTGGATAAAAGATAAATGACATTATCTTTTGGGGGCTGTTCTTCACCATTATTAAAATGCAAATTTGTATTATGCTGTGGAGTCAAGCATCCTCCAATCTAAAACAAGTCTGAATATCTCATGAAATCAATTAAATCACTGACAAAAATGACATTTAACTCTTAAATGTTTTAAAAAAATATTCTCAGCAAAAGTGAAATTCATTAAATAAATAGTAAGAGTAATTCTGTAAATAACTGTCAAAGAAAAATATGGTTGTTTGTCTCCTGTTTGCACTTTGATAACTGAGTGATAACTGAGGGTGAGAATGCCAGGTTCCAGTGCAAAATTTTTATCGAGATCTCACCAAGTTATTGGTGAGATCTCCATGTTTGTGTCTTTCTACATCTTGGTAAGATCTCACCGATATCTTGCCGAGATTTGGAAAGACACAAACATCTTACTGAGATTGCCTACATCTTGCCGAGACAGACTAGTTGCAGGAATACTTCCCGCCAAGATTGTCAACTAAGCACTGTGATTAGTTGTCTTAAGTCACCTGGGATAAAGTACACACCATCCCTCGTAGTTGAAGTTGCGACAGGAGAGATTGCTTCAGAGTTCATGTTGTGGGAAATTTGTTTGTTAGATGTTTTTGAAAGTATATTAGGACTTAGTTACCATGGAAAGAGCAGCTTTTTTGACCAAGAAAAGGAATTAATGCAGAGTAATTTCTGACATTTTCACCGCAAGTGTGAGCAATCACAAGAGGATACATAGACATCTTGTGCAAAGTGTTTTCAAGACTTGCTGAAGCGACCTAATGGCTGAAGTCAGTGTACACAGAACAATTTTTAGCAAAGTGCAAAACTTGAGCAGTTGATGATGACAATTACATGACATCTGCTCTGAGGTGAAGTTGTCGCCATGGATCTGCGTGTTGACATTTTGATATCTTGGCAAGATTGCCAAGAAATCTCCCAGTTTCTCAACAAGTTTTTTCTGGCCTCCGAGATTCTGATATCTCAATGAGAATCTCAGCGGCCAAAAACTCTCCCAGGATCTTGTCTTGGCAAGTTTTCTTGAAAATTCAGTGAGTTTGGTTGCCGAGATCTTGAGATCTTGGTGAGAATCTCGCTGTGTTTTTGGCTCCCAAGATCAGTGAGATCTTGCTGGCCAAAAATGTGGAGAGATTCTCACTGAGATCTCGCCTAGATCTCAGTGATCTCACCGGCCAAAAATGCGGCAAAATTCTTGGCGAGATCTTAGCGAGATCTTCGTCAAAATTTTGCAAGGGTTTAACTGGAATGTCTTGTTCCATATTAAAGACTAGTAAACAATTTACATTCAATAGTGACAAAGGCAAAACTCACCGTCGTTGTTACTATGTTCCCTTTCCGTGACAGCTCTGTCACATGTATCTTAAATTTTTGATAAAGCTCCTTCTCATCACCCTCTTTCAGAGTAATGTTTTTTGATATATGTTTCCCTGGGGCATTTAAATATACATGATAGTTGACTGGTTCAGAACAGTGATGAAGATCAATTTCAAGGTAGCCACCATCAGACCATGTGCACTTCACTCCTGAGTTAATGGAAGGGAAAGGAAAGCCCAAAAACTTCAGTTAATGTCATAATCAAAACTGATTGAGACAAGTATTTTCAAGAGCACTGAGAACATGAAGTTGAAAATCACTGTAATCTGATTTTAATTCCTTCCTTTCATATGAAGTGTCAACACACAAAATGAGACTGAAGCCAAAACCCAAACTCTTGCTTAGAAAATAAAAATGATCATACATACATGTCTGACTTCGGTTATGAGATTTAACAATTTTCCAAATTTGTACTTGGATAGCTAATAAAAAAATGGCCAATAGGAGCAAAAATCCTATGTTTTGAGTTTTTGAGTAGATCAACTCAGATTACTAATTTAAATAAGAATGGAACCAGTGCCAGTAGGTACAATGTACTCTCTGGCAGCATACCTATATTTTTAATATTTTGGGGGTTTTCATCAGAGAAAGAGCAACAGAAAAATGTAAGCTGCCCTTTTTACATTCAAACTTATAAAGCCGTGAACTCTAAAATATGTCTGGAATGTTCTTTGTTTGTTTAAAGAATCACAAGCGAGATCTTCAGACCACAGAAACCACAGAAAACAGGTGGGTTCCATCAGTCACGGAACTATAAATTCTAGTTTTTGGTTTTCGTTTCGTCTCAAAATACCCTTCCATCTTTACATTACTGCAAGTCTAAATATATAACTGCTATTCTTTCATATCACGAAATTAGAACCACATCCAGTACTTAGTTTGAGGGATTTTAGGAAAAAAGAATTGACAAGCCGGTGGTTACTAAAGCGAAGCAATGTACGGTTGATTTGACATGGCTATTAATAAGGACGATTGAAAATTCAAAATTTTGGCATCATGTTTCGTTAAACTAGCCACTCAGTTTGTTTTAGCAAACAATGACAATCCCCTGGGCCCGGTGATTTGGTGACTCAGTGATCTTAAGACCCTGGAAATAAAGTCATGACAAATGTTTGCTAATGTTGGAATTAGTTGTGGCTAACAGTAAACATCTCAATTTTTTTGCTGTTCCTTCTCAAATAAATTTGCAGGTTTGATATTTTACATATCATATTACTTCCATAATTTTTTCGTCAATATTCCATGTTGCTTTTTGTTTTAATCAAAATGCATGTAATGGCCCTTCTTAATGAAAGCACTTATGAATATGAATTGTTTGCACTTGAGTGAATCAATAATTGTTGGCAGTCCCTGTCGGTTGTTCACTTGCATTGACCCAGCTCATTGCATTGGTTTGTGAAAATAGTTTTTTCATGTTAACCAAATGACTCCCAGAGCTTTTTGCCAAAAATCCATTTTTTGGACATTCTGGAGATTTTCAGGCTGGATACAGGCCAAATTAGCTCCAGTCTACTCAAAAAGGCATTTGCAACTTGGCAGCATGCCTTTCTTTCCACTAGCATCACATTTTATGACATTCTTGCTAGGGCATGCGCAGAAATCAAAATTTTGAGTTTCTGGACGAGAAAGTGACCTACATCTTTAGGCTTTTAGATTTTTTAATTTTTTTTTCCCCTTTCCTTTTTCTCCTTTTTTTTTAAGCGCTGACGTAATCGCTTTATACTGGCAGGCATGCATTCCTTTGGATAGTGATTTCGCATAGTTTGTCACGCTTATGTCCATGTGCTCATGTCGCGCACCTTTTATCCCCTGTGGAAGCGAAATGCACTCTGGGAGTTCCTTTGCTGCTTTCCTTTGCCGTTTGTAGGTTCAGCAGAGTGCTTTTAATTGGAGCTTTTAAAAGAAGGTTTAGGGGTGGATTTTGGTTTAAACAGTACTGGATAAATTTGCGTTCACGGGCAAACTCATAATAAGAACATATCCTCCATACATACAAGTTTAGATAGACAAGTAAGTCGCACAGGTGGTAGGTGAAGGCTTTGTGGCTTTCCTTTGCTGTTTGTAGGATCAGCAGACTGCTTTTAATCGATATGACAAGTATACAGTTAAAACAACAAATTAATTTCCGGTGAGGTAATTAGTGTTGCCAAATATTTTTAAAGATAACAAGGTGTCGATTTCAGACAGAGTAACATTCCTTTTTGCGGGTTTCCTTTGTGGCTGTTTATAAGACCAGCAGAGTGCTTTTAATTTCAGCTTTTAAATGACGATTTGGGGGTTGATTTTGGTTTATACAGTGTCGGATAAATTTGTGCTCACTGGCAAACTCGTAATAGGAACATATCGTCCATACATACAAATTTAGATAGACAAGCAAGTCGCACACATGATAGCTGAAGGGTCTACATAAAATTTATGGATTGGTAGCGCAGTTGTACTTTTGCCAGTCTTGAAGTGATTTGAATGAGCATTGTATGAGCACTGAAATATACAGTTTACGGTAGTGATAATGAAGTCAGGGTATGATTCATTTGCAGTTTTCAGTTTTTTTGAAGTTTTGGAAATGTGCTGTTTTATGTTTTCTGCCAACGAAAGAGTGGTTGTGATTAAACAATCCATAATTGTTTTGTCAGGGTAAAGACAATACGAATGTTCATTGATGACAAGTATATGGTTAACAACAAATTAATTTTCTGTGAGGTAATTAGTGTTGCCAAATATCTTTAAAGATAATAAGGTGTCGATTTCAGAGAGAGAAACTTGTACTTTGCGGCTTTCCTTTGCTGTTTGTAGGATCAGCAGAGTGCTTTTAATTTCAGCTTTAAAACGAAGATTTGGGGGTGGATTTTGGTTTATACAGTGTCGGATAAATTTGCGCTCATGGGCAAACTCATAATAACATACATGTATCTTCGATACATACAATTTTAGATAGACAAGCGGGTCGCACACGCGATATGACAAGTCAAGAGAAAATGATTTTCTCTTGGACAAGTATATGGTTAAAACAACAAATTAATTTCCGGTGTGGTAATTAGCTTTGCCAAATATCGTTAAAGATAATAAGGTGTTGATTTCAGAGAGAGGAACTTTTCGGCAGAGTGCTTTTTATTTGGGTTAGTACATTTCGCTGACCCCTAGCACATGGACTAACAAGATGGACCTGGTACACGAACTACTTGAATGAACCACCAATGGACTAGCCTGAATGTAAACCCCTAAAATTTCTAACCCAAAAGTTTAAGAATCAGTTTGTCTGCTCATGTTCCAATCTTCTAGGAACAATTTTTAAATGTCATCGCTTCTGCATGCATTGCATGCCGTTTACTCTTTTTGCTACAGTGATTGACCTTCTACTGGGCTTGCTTCCAGTTCAAAAAATTCTGAGAAAGTATCATCGAGACGGGCAATTTTTGCCATGGAGTAGCCCTGTGTAGTTGCAGGAAATTTTGCTCTGAGTTTTTCACTCAACTTTTTGAGCATTTTCGTGCATACTTCAGGCTCCATTGAGCTGATCACTCTGATCTGGGTATCATTGGAAAGATCTTTTCCTCCTGCAGAGTTGAGCATAAATGATGCCAATTGGGTGGCACGGGAGTCAATGGGTTAAAGATATCTCAAACCCTCTTCATTACCATTTAAATAGCATGTAACAGCAATTATCTAAATTCTTGTATAACAAAAAGAGAGGATTTATTTTGAAACAAAACAAATTTGGTCTTGAAGGAAACTCAATCTGTTTTCTGTGATTGAAGATCTTGTTTGTGATATTTGGTTACATAGTATAACACAACAAATATTCCACATTGTAAGTTTGACTGTAACAACATACACTGAAAGCTCCATTTATATCACCTGTGCAGTGTGGATTTGGTTGGCAGTCGCTAGGTTCTTTGAGTAACATGAGGATGCCAGCTTTCAAATTCTTGGTAGCTGCTCTCATCCCACCACATTCTGGATTAACAGTGGGTTTTGTTGGAAGTTGTTGTGCCTCCAAAACACTAAGAAGACCTGCAAACAACAATCAGATAAAACATACATGTACTCAAAATTTCAACAACACGTTACTGTTGTAAAATATCCCAATTCTTTGATTTTAAAAGAGGATAAGTCTAGTAATAGTGTTATGTTTGGGGAAATACATCCTAGGACTAGGACCCAGAAATGTTCAAAATGCCTTTGGAAATCTTCTGAAGTCTTCATGGACTTGTAATTTTCGGTTTTATCACATATCTGTTACCTGCCAATTTGACTAACCATATACTAATAAAGATTGAAAGATTGATTGATTGATTAGGTCCTTTGAATATCCTAGCACTCCCAGTCAGTAAAAATCACAAGCTGGTAACTTGGACAAATTTGCCAGGTATAAATTCTACATGTATTTTGCTTGTTAATTTGCATATTTCCTTGGCTAACATTTCATCTCAAATTGCCCAATGTTCTGATTATAAGTCCTCTTACACATACAAATATACTTAATGTTTTGTTTGCTTTTAGTATCTGAATCACATCAAAGCATTTATTTCAGTTTTCATGATACCAGAATACAATTTTATAAGTAATGTACAACATCAGTTGAAGCATGTAAACAGTGTTTTTTTTCCTTCATCAGCTGACTTATCATAATTGTATTTTCCACCTTAATGGTAGGTAAAGAAAAAGTCTGCATATGAGCCAAGTGGCCCATCAGGCTGGAGCTTATCCCGGTTTCTGCAGCAGGAAGCGAATAGGAGTATTTCTACTCCTCCCTGATGGGATGGTAGCCCATCACAGGGCTACCCCCAGCATGAAATTTGTTGGTTACCCATTTGCACAACTGAAAGGAGAGAGGCACTGCGATAGTAAAGTTTCTTGCCCAAGAACACAATACAATGGATAGAGCGCCCGCCTGGTGTTCGGGAGGTCATGGGTTCGATTCCTGTCAGGAACTCAGAATTTTTCTTTGTCCCACGCTTGTGTCATGTTGATTAATTTGCCTTCACATTTCATTACCATGCTTAAAATTCACCATCTTTATTAACTTATCACTACTCACGATGACTTCGATAGCGTTGATCCTAGCAGTATGCAGGACACTTGTCACATATGAACTCAGTCAAATGACTTTGCTCTCCATGAGTTCTCCTAGCTCAGTGGATAGAGCACCCACCTGGTGTTTGGGAGATCATGGGTTCAATTTCTGTCACTGAGGGACTCAGACTTTTTCTTTGTCCCACGCTCGTGTCATGCTGATCAATTCACCTTTCACATTTTATTACCCAGCTTAACATTCACCAGCTTTAGTCACTTATCAATAGCATTGTTATCAGGGAAATCATATCACAAAGGAATTAAGCTGTTTTCACTGTTAAAAAAGCACTGTACCATAATTACCTCCTTTGTCTTTGTTCTTATCACTGAAGATTGCTTGACCCCCTTAAACTTCATCTTTGGGAATTTCAGATCTGAAAATGCAAAATACATATAACCAGCATGACCACTGAAGTTTATAATGGAGCTTTGATGTCAGTGCTCTGTCCATTGGAAATTAACAAAGAAAATCTCTACTGCTAGCAAGACAGTATGTTTACATAACAGCATCATCTTTGTAGACCTTTATGGGTGACAAATAAGTCTGCAAATCCTGTCAACCCTCTTTGAATCAATGTAGTCTAAGTTTTTTTAACACCTTTCTACTGGTTGTGTGACTAAATAGTAGATGACAATCATGCATACAAGAAACATAGCACTTCTTAAGGCTTGGCTATAGAAAATATGAGAAGTGTACATTCACAGCAAATGTCAATGCAGTCTAAATGATTGTGATATGCTAGAAAATTAAAGAACTAAATTATCCTAAACGAAGTGCTCATCTCATTGAAACCAGGTCATTCTGTAAGCAATTCACTCACTTTTTCGGTCCAGTGTTACACTGAACTCCCTGTGTATCCCATCAAAAGCAGTGTCAATCATCAACTGTTTAAATCTCTTGTCCTGTTGCAACCAAAAATAAATTATTATAAATAATAACAGACATAGAGACAAAGGTTAAGATGAAAAACTACACTATACATAATACAGCTATGTCTCAATACTGGACCATACTACACTGAATTATGATTGGTTAATGTACAAACCCAGTACAACCCTTGTAATAAGTGTCACCAATTAGTATGGACAATGCTAGAGTAAACGACACTGACTTTTATTACTGAAGTTCACTACTTCTACTAGTGCTACTACCACTAGTTGAAAGAGCTAATTAATACTGGGTCCTGGGGCCCGTTTCTTGAAGGTCCCAAATTGTTTT